CTGTCTCAACAGACCCCTAGTAGCAACACCCTGGGTATCCGGAGGATACATAGGTGGAGTGGAGCCCAAGTGGCTTACCAGTGGAACCATGGCTTAACCAGCTCAAGAAAGGGCATGAAGCATACAGGATTTTAGAAAGAACGCAAAGTACTAGCGTGCGAACTTACCACAGTGTGGATTTTAGAAAGTGTACAAAGACTTCTCGTGCACACTTACCATAACACAGATTTAAAAATACCGTTCTAAGGGGCCCTCGTGGCACTCTGAAAGAGCAGCCCATAGATGGAAATGATGCATTCCCAAAAACACTATGTTTAGAGAAGTCATCAACTCGATCTAAGGTATAATGCTGGAGTGGCTAGCAGTAAATCTCTAGCTGAGGGAGCAAACACCCAGCTCTCAATTGAGAGGGGGCTTGACCTACAGCATGTTCCAATGCTGGAACGGCTAGCAGTAAGTAACCTAGCTGAGGGAGCACAACACCCAGCTCTCAACGAGAGGGGGCTCGACCTAAAGCATGATCGTTAAAAATCAGAAGGGTAAGCGTACTACCCGCTAGCCAAAAACTCAATGCATCAGAGAGGCGGAGGAAGGGCCTAGTTCGCCTGATGCTGCTGGTTCCAGGTGCTCTGGAAAAACAGAGAACTCAATTCTCACGTGAGAGGAGAACTCCGAATTCAGAAAAGAAGTAGCATGCTCATAGGCAACCCTTTGATAAAGGGGAGCACTGCTAAACACTACCACGAGAACAGCCCACGGAGCGAGGAATCCAACTCCTCAGCAAGGGAGAGAATTCAAACGCTCGAAAGAAAGCACCATGCTCACAATAACCCTCAATGGTGAGGGGAGTGATGCTTCAAAAGTATGTCAACCGAGACACACTGGTTGAGTGGAGCCCAAGTTACTGGGGTCTAAGCCAACTCAGAGAAAGGGAACAAGGGAAATAACACGTAACCCTTAACATACAGGATTTCAGAAAGTGCGCAGAGTCTAACGTGCACACTTACCACTATGTGGACTTTAGAAAGTGCGCAAAGTGCTCAGCGTGGCTAAATCCACTATGTGGATTTTAGAAAGTGCGCAAAGTGTTCAGCGTGCACACTTACCACCATGTGGATTTCAGAAAGTGCACAAAGCTTAGCGTGTGCACTTACCATAGCATGGATTTAAGAGCTTCCCAAGCATCTGTTCAGATACCCGGAAGTGCTGAACTAAACGGGAGAGGCAAGCTCAAATACAACCCTCTAAGGCGAGGGGAGCACTGCCTGAGACAGCATTACACAAGAAGGTTCTCGCAAATGCCACCTATACTTCCCGCTCGATGCCTCAGCAAGCGGGGATATCCTGGTGACCAGGAAGCTTCTCAGGGCGACTTAGATACGGCGTCCCAGACAGGGCAGCCTGAAAGCATAAGCCCAGCCCGGACGTCCAGGAAATTTTGCAGTGCCGTGCCTGATGATCAAGAAGGCTCCTGCAGAAGCCTGTGACCAGACCGCATGATCCAGGAAGCATGAAGCCGAAACCAGGGCTATCATACCGACTGGATACAACATCGACGAGTGAGGAAAACACTGCAAGTCGAGCACCCGGTTTCTGAATCCAGCAGAGGGGGGTGCTGACCGAGGACCTACCCTAGAAAAGGACAGAAACACACAGGTCCCGGAAAAACACTGCAAAGAAGGCTCGCAGATGGATTATACAGACAACCACCAGCGCATTAAATACATATATATATATATATGTTAGAAATGGATCGTACTAGCCACCATGGTTCCCACGCAGGAGCTCCGCTTAAGAAGCGACCCGAGGAAGCCTCTAGTTCGAACCATCAGTAAGGTGGTCACTATGAAGCCATAGAACCAACCAAACATCATAGGTCCAGCATAGGAGACTGTAATGCAGGAAGTTCCTACCTAACCTCGGTCAGGTGAAGAGATGGTGGTTATGAGGGAATTAGGAAGGGGAAGATAAGGGCAGATGTAAAACCCCCGAAGGAAATGAGTAGATACTCAAGTATCACTCTGATCCGGACAAAAGTGCTGACGCCTTGTCTGGATCACATCCCTTAGATCTTGCCTACCTCCCTTTGACCCGCGATTCCTCCTACCCCTACCCGCAGGCAGGGGAGGAGCGCGAGCCGCGACACTAGCCTTCTGTACCTGTCTCTTATCCTCTGTTTGGAGATCAGGAAGACTCACCTGAGCTGGAGGGTTACGGCCAGAAAGATAGCGCTCATCGAGACGACCTCACGACGTCACTTTCTTGGCCCGCTTCCACGGCAAGTCAAGCCTCGCCGTGGCGCGATCCATAACTTCCAAAACTCATCATACGCAGGGCTGGAGGATTGGGAAGGCTCAGCCTCAGCTTCTTTGCCCTCCTCAGACATCTCCTGCTCTTCCTGGGTCGAACTCAGCAGAGCACTGGCCCCTGGACCAGACAATGTTAAATGAAATAACATCATCCTTCAGCGGCTCACTCTCGTCCATAGTTGACGAGCGCGAGGGGGAAAGTCCCTCTTTAAACTCATCGGCCAGATCCACCTGCGATCCTCACGAGCTCATTCTCCTCCGCGCCTCAGCAGCGGCGGGGTCTGAACCGCGGGGAGCCGATGGCTGCTCTTCTTTCCTCGAAAAGAGAGACAAACGAGAGTCTATAGTCTATACTATAGTCGCACCGGTAGTGACGTCATGGGCTGTCGCCGGCCAACGTGTTGTTGGTGTTTTTTGAATGTATGCTTCAGACATGGGTCATGACGAGGCGTTCCCCATAGCGACTCCTAAAGGACACAGTTCGAAGTTCCCTTGAAAGGGAACTCAATTTAGTATTCACGCGGTGTAATTCTCCTCCGCGCCTCAGCAGCGGCGGGTTCTGAACCGCGAGGAGCCGATGGCTGCCCTTCTTTCCTCGAAAAGAGAGACAAACGAGAGCATTGCTTTTTCATTGGAAAACGCTCGCAATGAACACAAATTGCCCCCTCGAGGACATCGCGTGTGTGCTCCTCGCCCAAACAAAAAATGCAGAGATCGTGGGTGTCATCAGATGTCAAATAACGACAATACGGATGCACACATCCTCTAAACGCCTTGCGAGTGCTCGCCATAATGAAAGAAATAAAGATCGCTCTTACCACGGAAATGCACGCTTCAAACAAAACGGTCAGTGAAGACGAAGAAGAGGATGATGTGTTCTCCCGGCGCCTATTTATACTATAGTCGCACCGGTAGTGACGTCATGGGCTGTCGCCGGCCAACGTGTTGTTGGTGTTTTTTGAATGTATGCTTCAGACATGGGTCATGACGAGGCGTTCCCCATAGCGACTCCTAAAGGACACAGTTCGAAGTTCCCTTGAAAGGGAACTCAATTTAGTATTCACGCGGTGTAGACGTGGCTGTCTGTGTGCATGCGCTTCAGATGTGTGCACAGAAAACTTCTCACACAGCGCTCGACTGTTCCGCAAACAATTCCGAGTGTCTTTTATGCTCACCTTGTGCCTTCAGGCAGTCCTTATATTGAGTCCTGATACGTGAGTTTGAATGATAATGCACGCGTTGGCAGTAATGCATAGACGGACATTATTTGAAAATGTGGACCGTGCCAAAATAAATGTGCCTATTTATACTACAGATATCAATATTTTACGCGTGGCATCGATGCATCGTATCGATCCATATCAATGAATCGTTACACCCCTATAATTAACTTCCTCAACCTACGCAGAATGAGGACAAATTACAAGGATCAGCTGATGTGGGAATAGCGGTTCCGCCACGTTTCAACCATTTAAAGGATACAGCCACATTATGAGTCAGTCTAAGTGTAGAAGAAATGGCTGAGAGGTTTGGGCAGAAACTGAAAAAAAAAAAGTTACATAATACAATATAATCAAAATACATATTATAATCCATATGCATTTAAATACAAATTAATTTTATTTATAGAAGAAATTCATTCTAAATCAATTTTGCAACATAATGAAAAGTTAACTGACTTGACCCTCAAAAAGAAGAATCTTTTTAAAATAAAGAGACTCAATTCTAAATTCTCCAAATAAATGAAAGATAATGTCACATGAGTAAATAGAGAAGTGAAACCTACGTCATGGCCAAAGAATCAGCTCTATGGATAGTGTTATGACATTACAAAGGAATATACACGTCTCTAAATATACACATCTGCAATTATTGTTTTAAAATTTTAAACCGAACTAATTTTAATTGCTTCACAGTCCTAATGATCAATTTAACTGCATAGTGAAAATGGAATACAATGTGAAACTTGAAACACACCAAATCATATTCACATATTTTTGTGGGTTTTACAAATATTTAACCAATGAACAGCATTCAAAAGAGCTTGTGACTAAACCTGGTAATGCCATTGGTTCCTCAAACTGTCAGCGAAACCCAGACTCCATTCAAAATACAGTGCCGTGCACAGTCTGGAGACAGATCTCTGCTTGCTTGCAGTGCAAGGGTAAATAAAGAACTGTTGTTTGAATAAGTATAGTGTTTTATTTACTCAAGAAACACTATGTCTATAAAGACTAATGTTTTTTTTGTGTGTTTGAAGTGTGGAGTTTGTGTTTAGCATTTACAGTCTAGGTGTAGCTAGTATATTGTTTTATATATCCTGTACATAGCGCTTCATCTCTTATATCATGAGATTTTGACCAAATGTACTCAACAACTAAAAAACTGACCGCCCATATAGCTACAATAAACTTTATAACCTGGAAGTTGATGAAAATGTAATGCGATGCACTTACTGCCTCAGATGCAGCCGTATATGACGGACAAAACGTCTCCGGTTACCTAACGTAACCTCGGCTCCCTGACAGGAGGAAACGAGACATTGCGTCATCGAAGATGTCGCTTTGGGGTTATCCCCTCTTCCTCTAATCTACTGAAGCCTTATGAAATCTCACAGGCGAGAATTCACCCGCCAATGGCGTTCAAGCGTGTGAAATAGAGGCAGGCGTGAAATAAGGTGGCACTGTACGCCATTGCCTCAGAATCTTTGGACTGAAGCAGAGTGCAGCTGACAAAGACTCTGAGCTATGTAACATGGCAACGTACGCAGTGTCTCGTTCCCTCCTCTCAGGGAACTGAAGTCACATTAGGTAACCGGAGACGGTCTCTCGAGTCGGTCTCTTGACACTGCGTCATCGAAGGTGTCGCTTTGGGGATCTGATAAAATCCCGCTGTGTTGATAGCGAAGGTCCAGATCAGCTGCAAGCAAAGCCATTGACCTCAGTTAAATGTACTTCACTCAACGGAAGACCTCACAAGCTCAGTGGCATAGCAGCTATAAGAGCAAGTTGCACAAGCATTAGACTACTGCAAACACATCGCAGAGTAAAGGACAGCGGTCCCGCCTGCATACTGGATTAACCATGCACTCACTGCCAGCATTCATGCGACGGCACTATCGCCAAGCAATGTTTACCCCGGGATATGTGACATCCACGGTGTGAGCACCGTACCGTCACAGTGTGCTGGTGGCCAAATAATGCATGCGGCAGCAACACAGACATTATTGCATAATGTTGCCACTGGTGGCAAGCCTGACCATGCGGTTAATGGTGGCGGTCGTGCCAATACCTAGTAATGATAGGTATTCCCACAATTTCAGTTCAAGTTGTAGACATAATCGTCTTGCAAAGGCAAACTCGCGATGCGAGTGAGGAAACATTCAAATCACAGAACTGCCTAAAGTTGATCACGAGTTGATCACGTAGAAGGGCGAGAGGTGATCAGCCTTCTTGTGCCTCTCAAAATTCTTATTGACAGGACATTCTGCCGGGCAACTATAAATATGATGGAGTCATGCCGTTATAAACTTAAAACAAGGAGGGCATACAGTCGCTGTCCAAGTACTCCAGCAAAAAGTCAAGGCAACTAACGGGCTATCTGATCATAAAGTAGATATATTCAGGCCCACATATATAATCCAGTCCCCTGGCCAAACCTGGACGAGAGCCTGTCTCAACGCGCTCACTTGAATGCACGTTTCAATATATATATTATGACTTAATGCACTGCATAGCAAAACGATCCGGACGCAAAGGCCATTACAGTTCCTGTCGCCCATAATGAGCGGAGGACGTGAGAACAGACATAAGAGAGCTGACAGTCTCGCTATCGTTACCTTATGAGTGAGAGCAAAGCAAAGCACTCTCTCCAAAGCCACAGCCATCAGCCTGAGTGCTTCCTGGGAACTCTTAAAGGTAGAAACTTCTCGGCTCGAAATGAACAGAAGTATAAGTTACCAACCGTGAGCACCCAGGTGAAATGCAAGCTTGCATCACAACAAAGCCCAGTTGCACTCTCTGGGTGGTTGAGAAGCAGAAGTCTGTGATGGTTTAATACAATCCCTGAATGGAATATAATCAGTCAATTGTCCAGATCCATTCAGCGCGCAAGCTCCACTCATTTAGAGGGGAGAGAGCCGCATTCGAACATTTCATGAATGTACACATTCAAGCAATGCTGGACTACTGAAAATGTAATAATAAGCAACAAGCGTATTGGTGCATACAACATTAAACCAAATCTTACGAGTGACATATATTCACAGCATCCAGCATTAATCTGCGGGAAGAACCAAGTTCATATAAGCACAAAAACAGGGCAGATTGCTACAATTGTAGTGCCTGAATACTACTGAAATAATAGAACACAGAAAGCGGTGTCATGAAGGCATCAGTTTTGCATATGCAGTAGCTATTACTGTGAGTAATGGCACTGCACATCGGCCTATACAACCTAGTTGAAACACGTGGCAGAGAGGGGCGTGGCCATGAAATCTCTCAGTCATTCAATGGCTGCTCAGCAGTCTTCCCCTGCACAGACAGAACATGCGGTGTGAAAAAGGGGAATTTTCAGGTTATAAAACCTAGCCAAAGCGTTTTGCGAGGACCAACCCACCGCAAAACAAATATCCCGTATAGACATGCCTTAGTTCAAGTCCAAGATGAAGCCAGACTCCATGTGGAGTGGAGACTAATCTAATCGGGCAGTCGACTCTATGAAGCAACATCAGAAGCACTCGTGATGCTCTGAACATAGAGGCAGAGCATCACGAGTGCCCGCCTCTATTTCACGTGCTTGAACGCCATTGGCGGGCGAATTCTTGTCCACGAGATTTCACAAGGCTTCAGTAGATTCCCCAATCTACTAGATAACCCCAAAGTGTCATCTTCGATGATATAGTGTCAAAAGACCAACTCGAGAGGGAACACATATTGCCATCAGTTGCTGATCAAAAACCTTGTAACTCCATTTGAGTTTGATTTTACATAAAATGTTAATATTATAATGGCACATGCAAGTGTCTGATCATATATAAAGCCACAATACCAACTCTAACGATGCAGCATTTATATTAACAAAAAAAAGGAAATGTTTTTAGTTTTACATTTCCGGAAAGTGGTAGTGGTTTTGGACATACAAGGTTCCCGCCCAATAGCGAAGATATATACATTTGTTGTTTTATCATCACCAACAACATAAAGCTACCTGACCTTGTGTTCATACCTGACTTAAGCTCAAGTTTCACATTAAATATGAGTACTACTTTTAATATAATATCCCGTTTTAATATGCTATTTAAAGCAATGCATGTTTGTGCAACTTTGCTATAATTCAGTGTTTAGTGGTGAGCCGTGGGATTTTTTTTACTCATCAAAACTGTGCCATGGCTAAAAAAAGGTTGGAAAACCTTAGAATTATCTCAAATACATCACTCACAAGTCTGATGCAATCAGCCCAAGAACAAGGAACAGAACAAACAGCCAGAGGACCTGACAGGAAGAAAAAAGAAGAGGGAATGAAAGAGAAAACGTGAGAGGTTAAAGTCCATACAACATACAAAACCAAGGAGTTAATAAAACGCACAACCAATATAAAATCAGATTACACAGCCTGGATGATGCATTATCATTAGTTTCAGTTGCATATGTAAACAGAAATATATCACGCTCCACAAATACATTTACACAACACTCAATACTCTGATATGCAAACAGTTTAAAAAGTAAACTGTGAGTTTGGTAACTGAGCTAAATGTGTCCTTACATAGAGTGTGATGGCTAGGGGCAGCAGATTAGGTGGGAACAGGCAAAAGGTGACCACAGGGTATTTGATGAACCCTTCATCTGAAGCACAGTCCGGTGTATTTTTCACAAACTCACATCTCTGACTGGCAGACAGGTTCATCACCACATCACACTGCAACACAGACCAACAAATGCAGCTGTGAAGGATTCACTGCCAACAGTTAGACAGCACCACATAGATCGATTTTATAGTTTACTCATGGTCATGGTAAGGAAAAAGAGAGCAAATGTATTTGTCACATTAATGAGTCATGACTCATTATTGTGCACACTCAGTAACTTCCTATACATCAGAACACTGAATGAATGGAGTGTAGTGATTTGAGTCATAAGCGATCACGACTGACAGGACAGGTAATCTAAACATTGCGTGATCACATATTTCAGAGTTTCGTCCAACTCACCTCGTCTCCATTGCGGTTCGGTGTACCTTCTGGCAGCTGACATGATCCCATTGCAGAGCAACGGTGCAAAACAACACTAAGAGAAGAGCACGCATTTGGGCTGATTCTGCTTCAGCATTGCTTTTCAAAGTTCAACACTAGTAGCTGAATCGTGGTAGATCGACGGCAACTTTAGAGGTTCCGTTGCGCTCCTTTCCTTCATTGTTGATAAACTCCATGTATTTAGACGCTGTGAATCACAATCTGTGGTTTGACCTAAATCACGCAGGATTACGCATTCTGTCACGAGTGAGACGACTAAATGAGAAGTGTGTCAGCCTGTCAGGTCATTCCAATACTTCCTATACAAACAGCGTGACGCGCTTTCTTATCCGCCCTCCCTCTGTCCTGAGGTTAAAGAGACATTTCACTCTTTTCAACTTAAAGGGGTCATATGACGTTGCTAAAAAGAACATTATTTGGTGTATTTGGTGCAATGCAATGTGTTTATGTGGTTTAAGGTTCAAAAAACACATTCTTTTCCACATACTGTACATTATTGTTGCTCCTCTATGCCCTGCCTTTCTGAAACGCATCGCCATTTGGGCGGCGTTATGCAAATCTTCCCACACAGTGATGTAGACATGTGGGGGCGAGTTTAAACAAGGCGTTTTAGGAAGGCGTGGACGAGTCTTAACTTTTATAAAGAATATCTCTTTGGGTTTGAGACTTTAGTCTTTGCAACTTTAGGGATCTTATCAATTCACGAACAGCTTGTAACACTCCAAAGAGAAAGAAAAACTAGAAATCGCATCATATGACCGCTTTAAAGGGATAAGGTTAGTTCATCCAAAAACGAAAATTCCGAAAACATTCACTTTCCCTCATGTCGCTTCAAAACCAAGACTTTCGTTCGTTTTCGAAACGGAGCCTCTGGGACATGGTGATGGAAATACCACATGTGAGGAGTTATTTTTTTAATTAAAAAGTGCCTGTAAACAAACATGCCTGCTCTCACCCACACATACACACATACAACATAAACACACAAATATGAAAGCATATGTTACACACACACACACACAAGCACACAGTGAGATACAAACACAGTACACACACACAAGCAGGCACATCATATATAAAATCATGGCATTTTTATACTACACAGTGCATTGTACTTCTGTGAAAGTGATTCAATTCTTTGTTCTTGTCATACTTTTGTAGTGTTTTAATTGTTTAAATTTGTAATTCTGTTGGATTGCTTTAATAAATCTTCAGATGTATGCTTCTGTTGAAGTGTCTTAATTCAGCAAACGTTAAGTGTTTATGAGTTCACTATCAATAACACTATCCACTATGTCAAATTCTGAGGATTTTCTATTGCAAAATATTATTTGTACAATGCGCGCTTTCTTATCCGCCCTCCCTCTGTCCTGAGGTTAAAGAGACATTTCACTCTTTTCAACTTAAAGGGGTCATATGACGTTGCTAAAAAGAACATTATTTGGTGTATTTGGTGCAATGCAATGTGTTTATGTGGTTTAAGGTTCAAAAAACACATTCTTTTCCACATACTGTACATTATTGTTGCTCCTCTATGCCCTGCCTTTCTGAAACGCATCGCCATTTGGGCGGCGTTATGCAAATCTTCCCACACAGTGATGTAGACATGTGGGGGCGAGTTTAAACAAGGCGTTTTAGGAAGGCGTGGACGAGTCTTAACTTTTATAAAGAATATCTCTTTGGGTTTGAGACTTTAGTCTTTGCAACTTTAGGGATCTTATCAATTCACGAACAGCTTGTAACACTCCAAAGAGAAAGAAAAACTAGAAATCGCATCATATGACCGCTTTAAAGGGATAAGGTTAGTTCATCCAAAAACGAAAATTCCGAAAACATTCACTTTCCCTCATGTCGCTTCAAAACCAAGACTTTCGTTCGTTTTCGAAACGGAGCCTCTGGGACATGGTGATGGAAATACCACATGTGAGGAGTTATTTTTTTAATTAAAAAGTGCCTGTAAACAAACATGCCTGCTCTCACCCACACATACACACATACAACATAAACACACAAATATGAAAGCATATGTTACACACACACACACACAAGCACACAGTGAGATACAAACACAGTACACACACACAAGCAGGCACATCATATATAAAATCATGGCATTTTTATACTACACAGTGCATTGTACTTCTGTGAAAGTGATTCAATTCTTTGTTCTTGTCATACTTTTGTAGTGTTTTAATTGTTTAAATTTGTAATTCTGTTGGATTGCTTTAATAAATCTTCAGATGTATGCTTCTGTTGAAGTGTCTTAATTCAGCAAACGTTAAGTGTTTATGAGTTCACTATCAATAACACTATCCACTATGTCAAATTCTGAGGATTTTCTATTGCAAAATATTATTTGTACAATGTCTTGCTGTAGGAAATTGTATTTTGTAAGCACAGACTAGATACAAATGTATGTCCCAATTTACCTGAAAAGCCCGAAAAAGAAAAATGGGTTCTTAACATTTTTCAATCTTTTTATGTTTAAAACAACAACCAATATTCTTTCAAAAAACATAGTGGGAGATACAAGAGACTTTGAGAATTTGTTTAAATTGCATTATGGTAGAATAGATTTATTTGTATTTAATACTCAGTTTATCAAAAAGTGTCCCACTTTTGCTGACTTCACCCTATTTGTAATGTCATGTTACCAAAACTGTTGGTCAATGACCTTTTAAACAGTAGCCTATTAGACTATGTGTCTTTTTATTTACTTTTTTTCCCTCCTTGAAAGTGTTTTTAAGACGGCACTGTTTTAAAAAATATGAGTTTTGTTTTGGGTTAAATTCAATAAAGAAAAAACTGTTGCAAAATTGCTAAATTTTCAAAGTACATACAAGTACATCCCCTTCCGAAAAAACATCTTAAACCAGCCAAGGGTTTACTAGGCTTAGCCAATTCAAGCTTGTGTCCCAGCCTGACCAGTGGAAAAGTTCCCATAAGCCCTCTAAAACCAGCCAACAGACCAGCCGGACCAGACTGGGAGACAAACTTGGAGACCAGCAAAACCATATGATTTGACCTTCTTAAAAAGCCTGGCCAGCAAGTCAGGAGGCTGAAATGTGAATATATTCACATGAGAGCAACCTTCTGACACTCTGTAAAGTTTGATGATCCAGGTGTATTCCTCCACCCCACTTGCTTTGACCTTTATAAAAGCTTTACTTGTAAGCTAGAAGACATCAGTATGTATATCTGAGAGCAGCCTTTTGACATTTCCCTGAAGTTTCATTAGGCTATGTCAAAATCATTTGGAGTTCAACTATGATATTTGGTATAGATGTCGACCACTGGGTTCACTGTCTCATGTACTTTGTAAACAGTAACGGACTACAATTTGCAAGTAATCTACCCAACACTATTTGGGGTATGTAATAATTTTTGATTACTAAATATAATAGGAATTAAGACCAAATGTTTCAGGTCAAATACTTTGATGGAAAATTGATAAATGACTTCCTAAAATGTTAGAAGGAAGCAGTGACCTTCCTGTTTGATAGCACCTGTCTGATAATCAGCATGCACATTTCCTGTGCTACAGTTCAGAGGTGGTATAGTTTTTACCCATATTTAGGTATCATTTAATTGCTTTAAATAAATGTTGAAATATTGCTACAGTTGTTCCTTGAGGGTTAGGATTGTGACATTTGTTGAAATGTCATGTTGTCTCATGGCAAGTTTCGGCACTGAGAAACATTTGTGGTCATATCAGAACATCTGTCAACCTGCCTAGAATAGCTGAGCTGAGCTAAAGAAAGAGTGTGTACAAAAAAGTATATATTGTTTCATCTTCTTTTATAAGAATCTGCATGTTTGGGGGATCTGGTTTCTCACGCATTCAGTCATTGCAAATGAGAAGGGTCATGTCTCTGATCGAACAGCTGATGAAACAAATCGGGGGCCAGTTGCTTTAATACAGCCACTATGTTTAGACTGTGTCTAAAGAAGTAGTCTGACCAACTAGCAATTAACGTAGGAGTAATCTGTTTTACTTTTCAGATTCAAATTAGACCAATCTAGAATTCAGGTAACTGATTTAAAAAGTTATGACCAGTCTTAAAAAAAACATTTGATGGGTAACTTGTAAGTTTATGCAATCGGACACTTTTCTCGATTACAGATTGAGCTATTATTTCTATTAAAGTTTAGTAGTGCTGAAGTCCGATGAATGTTGGTGTTTCTGCAGCTACAGAAGTAATTATTTTCAACACTGTAAGTATGAGGTACATGTATTTTTGATGAAGGCTGTAGCATTTGACACAACTGCTGGTATTGGTTTTTGAAGGAATGAGCACAACACGAATATTCTTATTTATTCAGGAATTCGATTTTTTGCTCTAGTCAAGATGCTACTTTCGTGTACAGTATCTAAACGGCCAAAAGTAGCTTGTCAAAAATGTATTATATACTTCACACCATCTAAGTTTGTGTCTCTATATGTTTCTCTGAGCTCTATAGCTGGGGCTGAAGGATTTAATATGGAAACGTCAATGGGTAAAATTGGTTTGGCGTCATGTCTTAACTATTTCAGGATTGTTTCTATCAGGGTTGGACTGGCAGCACCAATTGGGGTCTCAAATTGGGATCATTCATAGAGACACAGCTAACATCCAACCCACCACACACACACTCATGCAAACACATGTTATAATTAATAATTTAATTTAATTAAACATGTTGATGCCAGCTTTGACACCATCCTCTTCCCCTTTGGAATACTAAGCCCGCTGGTCTACTAAATGAAAGGTCAGGCAGGCTTGATGGATAGAGTTTCTCCTGAGGATGACTAGTATGTTTTTGGCTCATGTCGTGAATTTTATGCAATTGCTGCACTACAGTGGTGTTTAAAATATATTGCTTATAGATGGAAGGAGTAGAATATAGTAGCATGTGGACCTGTAAGACAACAGCAGTTGCAGTTAATACAGATTCATTGTGTACATGACAAATTCTGTAAATTCTAGATATGTAGGAATGATTTACTTTTGCTCTGTGAACTCCAAACACTTGACTGTTGTGAAAAACAATTGGATATAAACTGTTCAGAATGTGGTTCCGGTGTTGACCATTTTTATATATATATTTTGTCTTCATGAAAGATCTTACACCAAACTGGCTGTTTATCATTCATTCCTTACATATTTAAATCTTTTAAATTACTTTTTAACTTCAAAATTGTTCAAATCATAATTTTAATTATAAGTTTACATTATACAGGACCAAAATTCTGTCATTGTTTTCTGACCAAAACATTGTCAGTGTGCTCTGAGAAAAAACTAATTTATTAATTAATTAATGAATTAAAG